TACTCCCCGCTTACGAGTGAGAGTTGGGTATTTCTTTCCGCCTTTTTGGAGACTTCCGATACCATTATGCGGTGCCTGCAGTAGTGAAGACGGGAGCCGCCCGGCCCGTCTTCCCGGTGACGCTACGGTAGGGGGATTTAATATTTCTTATTTCTGGCCAGGCGGTCCCGAAGGGTTTGAACCTTATTCGTCAGACCAAGGCCACTGGCGCCGCCCGCGCGCGCGTCCCTACGAGATCCTTGAACCACTCTTAACGTCATCAGGGAGCCGGCAGAGCCACCTCCTCAGCAGAGAACGTCCGACACTACTAAGAGTACTACTAGCAGATAATACCTTACACCTAGAACCTTACACTCTAATAGACATAAGTAAATTTAAAAAAAAAATCTAAATCAAGAATCTATCTTGAAAACAGATGATACCAATTTAATTCTGTAGTTTACCTGTGTTTTAATATTTCTAGTTCGGTGCATGTTTCATATCCAAAATCGGCCGGTGCGAGGCTAGGAGTGCAGCATAGCGGGGAAGGGGAGGGAGGGGGTAGCGTACCGAGCGGTAGCCGGCCGTTGGTTCCGAGTATTCTTTAGCAGGGGCCTGACGCGACCGACGCGACACTCAGCAGGACAGGCACTCACTCGGTCCCCCAGCGCCAAAGAAATAGTTTTCTGGTCTGCGCTTGGTTCTCTGTACTTATCGAGAGTAAAAGCTACCTGACACCTAAAAGTTTATTACATATTCTTTATGTTTAGTCAAAAGGTTTTTAAGGTATCATCTGCTAATAAGTAATGTAAGGTATCAGCAGCTTTTACTCCCGATATGGAAAGAGAACGAGAGCACAGCACTTTAACGAAAACACACAGCATTATATAGCCCCAGGCGTGGCGATAGGCGACGTCCGTCGCGGTCGCGGTCGCCGCACAGCCGAGATGCCGCGCTATGCGACCCGCCCCCCTCCCATCGCTGGAGCCCCCGCCACGAAACACAAGGAGGGCGCCGAATTATAAGCAAACCGTAAACGAATGATACGGTGATAGACCACACACAATTCTTTTTTCTGTAGTTGGTAATGCTTTTCTTAAAACTTGCAAATTATTTCTTAATCTGATAGAAAAGTAGATCACAGCCTTGCCCTTAGACTTGTATCATCTGCTGTCAAGGTCGATTCTTGGTTGAAATTTTTCTAGTGTTTTGTGGAGTTTTCTTCCAACCCTTTTTTCTGGTTTTGTCTGTAGTAGTTATTCGTTGGAGCTGCTGGAAAGTGTAAAGCGATACACATGACCCCAACCCTCTGAAGTGACTAGAAACAACCCTCGACGTGAATCCGTCGCCTTGTTCCTTTTCCCGTTCACGTGCCCCTCTCTGTGTCCCTCGCCCTCCCCTCCCGAC